TAATAGATACACTTTTTACAGTAATTATTTATTGTTAAAGTTCATTACACGCTGTTATTATAACAGCTATTAACGCTATTATAGGTTATTTCAAACTGTAATGATTTAAACATTTGAAATAAACAAAAGAAGGTAGATTGACTAGAAGGTACAAAATGAAAATCATAGACGTTGCCAGGGTACTACAGGGTTCTGAAGAAATAATACAGATGTCATTGGTTAATGAGTAACGCGCAAGCGCAAAATGAGTTCTTCACTTCCGTCTACTAGGTCAGATCGCACTGCAAACACCATCTAATTTCTCCAATTAGAGTGTCACCCCCCCCTGGAGATTCTGTACTCGCAGTTTATCGAGACTTGTCGATGCGAACGACGATCTCGATGAATCGATACATTTTACGCGAGACTTGACATCGCTGTGCATTGCTACCAACCGATTACTACTTACTTATCTAGAGAATTCATCTATAAGGCAATGTATTAAGCGTGATAGAATTATCTATTAGGTATGTTCCAACCTGAAAGTATCGATATTATGTATCGATCCAGATCGTAATACAAGTTATCGATACGGTGTAATATCATATTTGAAAGTATCGATACATTATCGATCCGGAATATCTTTCTTTTTTTTATATAGTTATATAAAATTAGTGTAAATGGTAGATAAAACATAAATCTGATGAAAGCTTATCCATTCATCCGATTCATGAAAAAACAACAATGTTGTCAACTAGGCTTTTTTCTATGATGATTAAACATTTCTCTACATGTATAATTGTTAATGTCTTTAAAGTGAAAATAACAATTGTTTAAAAATGCGTTGCTTAATGTAGTCACTTTATGACTATTTAGTCAACGAATTTTGTTTTAGATAAATGAAACCTTATTTTTATAAGCAATTATTGTTTAGCACGATGAATATCATTTTTCTGATATTAAACATTGTACATACTGTCGTACAATAAATGGGGATCCATCCTAAGAGTTAACAGGAAAAGAACAAACCAATAATGATACTTAGAAATAATAACATGTATTAATTTACATTAGATATGTAACTACATCCTCGAACGGTAGATAATATTATAAATTCTAATTTCTATCATATCTTGGAAAACGAACGATAAAAACATTTTCTAATCCGCATTGCGTTTTGTAACATATAAAAAGTAAAAACTCTCAAAATAAACATTTAACTTTGAAAATAAAAATAACATTTCAGTGCTAAATGAATCCTATCATAGAGTCTTTCTAAAATTACGAAACAAATGATAATCTTCTTATAGTGTTACTTAACTTAAACAATATCCTATTTCTAAAGAAAAAGCATAAAACATGATTATTAAATCAACTTAAAATACATAAAAAAAGAACAAATAAATGTTAACGAAACTACGTTAAAGGAACATCTTAACAATTAATTTAGTATGTTAAGAATCAAACGTTAAAAGTTACAAACTCCAATCATCAAAATTTAATGAATTTAAAAACATTAACTTCGATAGCCTTTTACCTCTCACAAGGAAGGTACCTGAGGTGTCCCCCTCCGATTTTGTTCATTTTTAAATATGTTATAGAGGACTAAAATCTAAGAGACCCGTGTTTTTTTTTTATCGGCGGATAAACACTTTCAGGGGGTGAAATCAGGCTTCAAAGTTGGCCGTGCAAGGGGGTGAGTTGGCTGTTTCATATAGAAGCACTCGACCGATTTTCATGAAACAACCGTCAAAATGTCGGGAATGAAGAATTATGAAACATGCATTTGGAATTTTTCGAAAAAATTCATTTTTAAGGGGTGAGCCACCCCTTTGTATACTTCTTTTACACCTTTCGCGAGCAGTAATTGCTCTATCCAAATGAAACTTGGTTAATTAATAGACCAGAACAATACAAGAAAAGCATATATGGTTTTTTTCGAAAAACGAATTTTAAGGGTTGTAACAACCCTTAAAATTCCCTTTTATGTGGGGGAGCTAGCGATCCACCACATTACAATAGATACATTAAGAATTACCACTACATACCCTTGCGTCCTGATAAGCAAACGTGTACGCCAGATTTGCGCACGGAAAATTTTTAAACACGGATAACCTTGGCGTTCGTCAGTGTCTGCATTTCTGGGCCTGCGGTTGTGGCTGCTGGCGAAGAATGCAACACGTGGATGAAAGCGCCTGAGAAAAAATATTTTCTAGAAATTTCGGCGAATGGTGGCGAAGAAGCCGCCACATTCAGCATTACTATGACTGATTTCAACATACATTTGTATTCATAGGTGTCCGAAACACAAAGCTACATTTTACGTATTGTCGTAATCTCGTTTCATTTCAGGTCCTACTTTGAAGAACAGTGATGGCGTCCTTGCGAATATTTGCGGCCGGCGCAAGTGCGGTTGGTGCTGGTGCCATTACATCTTACCTACTTGGATGTGACTCGATCGTAAGTATTTTTTCTAGCTGGTATTACCAACGAAAAAACCGAGATCCCCCCTCTCCCACACACGAACGAAGTTCAAGGATGGTGACTTACAGGAAATAAAGTCAATGCTTTAAGGTGAAGTGAAACATCCTTCAAATCAGTCGATTCGAATACAACACTTTTTTCTAAGGGTATTAAACCAAACTGTCCGAAACTGTGACACATCACTCCTGATCATCTAAGAATTGTCCTGACACATTTAAAATTTGGATTTTTCAACAAGATTTTTTAACTCTGTCCAGACCAGAACCAAAATGGCGTCGGGCTTTGATATTTCGATCAATATACAATTATCGAAGGCTCTGATATGAGAATCGAAAGGATCAGGACAATTTTACGACAATTTAGAACACTCTAGTAATCGATAAACTCGCATTTGAACGGGACAAAAGCAAAATAAGTGTTGTATGCGCTTCTATGCCAAAACGATGGTAATACGAGGTCTCGGAGTGAAAATTTAATTCACCTGGAAATCACAGATGGCGCAGGGGGTCACTCCGCAGTCAATTAAGGCCCCAGAAGGCATGAATCCAGAGGATTTCTAGAGTTTTACTTCGATTTCTTTATAATTATTGTACGAAAACGACAGATGGAATATGCCATTTGGTACAATACCCAATATAATTCGACACGGCTGTCAATATAAAAACGAACGTCGGCAACGTAGGTATTTAGAAAAATCTTCTTTATCGACGTCGATCAAGTTCCTCGACGTGTTTCACTTCACTTTAATTGTTCGATCGCGAAGTAGCGAGTACGGCTTTGAATATCGATTTTGACGCGCTGCGTTCGATTCGAAGGTTTCGATCCAAGAGAGCAAATACTATCGCACATGCTCGAATAGCGCCGAATTAACGGTCGTAATGTACAGTGGTTCATGTTAACCATCTGACCCGTTACAATATGGAGTCCCTAAAGTAGCTCCTGAAACTTATAAAATTTCATTTTTCATATAAAATTTATTTATTTATTATATCATGGACTAGAACCAACATAGCGTGGTCTGTGTACCTTTTCGATGTTTTATGCTTCCTCGGGACTTAGAATAAAAAATGAAGAGTTTCAGGACCAAGTTCGAACAATTTTTAATGCTACAGAAATGGAGTATTACAGAATCAGATAGGAAAATATGAAAAATACTTTCACCAACGATTGAAAGAGAATGCTGGCATATCCAGTAAGTACCGAATGTTTCTAGAGCAAACATTTAGTTGCAGCTAAGTGTTACGAATGGCGCCGTTGTTCCATTAGAGTATCAAAAATCGTGATTTCACGGGATTTAGACAATTTTACTTCGATCTCTTTATAATTATTCTACCGAAGTGACACGTGGAATGTTTAAGTTTGTATAATTCTCAACGTAGACTGGAAAAGACAATGACATATATTATATATATAAATGTCGATAACGGGACACGCCAGCTTATGTTACCACTTGAGTATTCAAAGCGTTTTACCACCAAAAAGAGTATAAATGAATTTTATTTTATCGACGTCGATCAAATTTCTCAGCGCCTTTCATATCATATTAACTGAGAGAACGATCGGGAATGAAATTGTAGATTCAGTAATAGTTTCAACTATTATCATCATTGTTATTCCTATTACGGTAAATTTTTGCATAATGATGTTTTTCTTCCCTTTGCCTCGATAACGTTCGCACTTATTTGCGATGCCAGCTTCAAGTATATGTATCATCTTCCTTGTTTATTTTCACCACGTTTGGAGTAAGATTATTGGAGTAAATTAATCAAAGAAACTAAATGGAGAGTTGATCAGGTAATGCATGGGATTAATTAATTTGTTAATTTTATAGGTACTGGCGGAAAATGCCACGAAAGCAAGACCGCCGAAAAGGCCACTACCCTCTCGAGAGGAACAGGTGAAGACACTTAAATCGAATGATTACGACGTCCTTATCATTGGTGGGGGTGCTACGGGTTCAGGATGCGCGTTGGATGCATGCACCAGAGGTTGGTAGAGTCATTCATCATTTTTCGACTTTAATCCTTGTGCATAATATCATCTTTAACTAAATATGGGTAAATGTAACCGAACGTTAAATATGGGCATGAAAAAGCGTAGACGAACTGAAACGTGTCCCAAGTTTTCACGTATACTGAACAGCATATTAACCTATTTTATTTATGATATCAAATAAAATAAAAGTATGCTGCATTGTACACAATCTACGTCAAGAATGTAAAAAATGTTGTGCACTCTTAGCATTTTGTTGAGGGCTTATTAAAATATTTGCTTGTGACAAACCGAGGCGTCCAGGCTCGACACGCAGCCACAAAACATGGGCCATGGATGATGTGTGTACAGTAGGCACCACCACGTTAGAAAAATGATATGAGTCCTATTGGAAAATTAGGTGCTCATTAGGTGCTATTTTAGTACTACAACCCCAATTTTAGTGCTCCACCCCATACCCCAAAAATCGGTGGTGGTGCTGAGTGTACGTTCACTCAGCACCACCACACAGTATATTTCCTTACAGAAGGGGTTAACAAAAAAAAACCGCAGTGCCGGAATTAAGTGCTATTTAAGTGCTTCAGAAATATCCCACGGGCGAGTCCGAAATGCCACCCCTTTCAACCAAAAACTACCCCCGAGCATATGTCCACCAAGAGAGAAATGGTACAACTAATACAACTACATAGACTCTTTCCACGCAATAATTAGGTGCTATTTCAGTGCTCGAGATATATGATGAAATCAAGTCCGGATTGCCATCCCTTTCACCCAAAAACTACCCCCGAGCATATTTGCCCCAAGAGAGAGGCCGTAGAACTAATACAATTACATAGACTGTTTTCATGCAGAAATTAGGTACTATTTAAGTGCTCCAGATATATGATGGAACCAAGACCGGACTGCCACCCCTTTCACCCAAAAACTACCCTCGAGAGAGTAAATAGCACCTAATTATTGCATGAAAACAGTATGTGATTGTATTAGTTCTACGACTTCTCTCTTGGGGCAAATATGCTCGAGGGTAGTTTTTGGGTGAAAGGGGTGGCAGTCCGGACTTGGTTTCATCATATATCTCGAGCACTGAAATAGCACCTAATTATTGCGTGGAAAGAGTCTACGTAGTTGTATTATTTGTACCACTTTTCTCTTGGTGGACATATGCTCGGGGGTAGTTTTTGGTTGAAAGTGGTGGCATTTCGGACTCGCCCGTGGGATATTTCTCGAGCACTTAAATAGCACTTAATTCCGGCACTGCGGTTTTTTTTTGTTAACCTCTTCTGTAAGGAAATATACTCTGTGGTGGTGCTGAGTGTACGTTCACTCAGCACCACCACCGATTTTTGGGATATGGGGTGGAGCACTAAAATTGGGGTTGTCGTACTAAAATAGCAATACACATGGCACGCACAACGACAGGGGGGTGACACTGCCATGTATTGGGGTGTAACACTTATGCACTACCGCCATCTTCGTTTGGAGTGAACCTTTTTCGCGAACGCCGTTAATAAATTCTTGATACGGTGCCACGAATGACTACGGTAGTTAAGGTGAAGCGAAACCCCCTTCAAATCGGTTGATTCGAATACAACACTTTTTTTTAAGGGTATTTGACTAAACTGTCCGAAACTTTGACACATCACTCCTGATCATTTAAAAATTGTCCTGACACATTCAAAATTTGGATTTTTTAACAAAATTTTGTAACTTCGCCCAGACAAGAACCAAAATGTCGTCGAGCTCTCATATTTCGATCAATATACAATTATCGAGGGCTCTGATATGAGAATCGAAAGGGTCAGGACAATTTTACGAAAATTTAGGACACTCTGGTAATCGATAATCTCGCATTTGAACGGGATAAAGGCAAAAAAAGTGTTGCATGCGCTTCTATGCTAAAACGATGGGAATACGAGGTCTCGGAGGAAAAATCGAATTGACCTGGAAATCACAGATGGCGCCGGGGGTCCCTCTGCAGTCAATTACGGCACCAGAAAGCATGAATCCAGAGGTTTTCTGGAGTTTTACTTCGATTTCTTTATAATTATTATATACGAAAACGACAGGTGGAGTATGCCATTTGGTACAATACCCAATATAATTCGATACAGCTGTCAATATAAAAATGAACGTCGGCAACGTAGGCATTTAGAAAAATCTTCTTTATCGACGTCGATCAAGTTCGTCGACGTGTTTCACTTCACCTTAAAATGGCGAACTGTTAGCCGCGGGTTGAGAAGTCCGATGTGTAGTAAAATTTCCCTCATTCGTACATTCGACGGGGCGAGGAGAGAGTATTCGGTGAGTTGGCGAGTTGAACAACTCGGTTAACGGCGACTCGCGTCGAAGGCATGTTGAGTTACCTGAATATTGCCAACTCGAGTCAATGACTCGATGCCGCGTACATTTGGCGCAACGAGTCGGGTCAATTACGAGTTGGCGAGTAAAACTACTCGATTAATGACGACTCAAGTCGAAACGATATAACGAGCCGAGTACTTCGACCCGAGTTACTCAACATTGCCAACTTAAGGTGAAGTGAAACACCATTCAAATCAGTCGATTGGAATACAACACTTTTTTTTAAGGGAATTAGACCAAACTGTCCGAAAGTTTGACACACCACTCCTGATCATCTAAGAATTGTCCTGACACATTCAAAATTTGGATTTTTCAAAAAAATCTTTTAACTCAGTCCAGATCAGAACCAAAATGGCGTCGAGCTCATATTTCGATCAATATACAATTATCGAAGGCTCTGATATGAGAATCGAAAGGGTCAGGACAATTTTACGACAATTTAGAACACTCTGGTAATCGATAAACTCACATTTGAACGGGATAAAGGCAAAAAGTGTTGTATGCGCTTCTATGCCAAAACGATGGTAATGCGAGGTCTCGGAGTGAAAATTTAATTCACCTGGAAATCACAGATGGCGCAGAGGGTCCCTCTGCAGTCAATTAGGGCCCCAGAAGGCATGAATCCAGAGGATTTCGGGAGTTTTACTTCGATTTCTTTATAATTATTGTACGAAAACGATAGGTGGAGTATGCCATTTGGCACAATACACAATATGATTCGACCCAGCTGTCAATATAAAAACGAACGTCGGCTACGTAGGCATTTAGAAAAATTTTCTTTATCGACGTCGATCAAGTTCCTCGACGTGTTTCACATCACCTTAAGTCGACGACTCGATGTCGCATACATTCGACGTGCCGAGTCGAGTCAATGGCAAGTTGAAGAATACAACAATTCGAATAACGATTACTCGAGTAAACATATAAGGCGCGATTGGTATCTCGGTATGAATAACTCGGTCTCCCTCTTAACCTCGTAAGTCGCTGGCGCCTTTAAATTCATAACTCGCATTCGTTTGTACCAATAACTCGAATTACAATAAAAATGACTCGAGTTGACTGGAATACCCGTTTTTCTCGAGTTTAAGGTCCGCCCCCGATCTTATTGATTTTCATATATGTCGAAGAACACAAAAATCTAAGAGACACGTGTTTTTTTATATCTACAGTGGTCCACATTTAAGGGGTGAAACAATCCCCCAAAGTTTGGCGAAAATTCTATTTTTATAATAATTTTCGTAGAAGCAGTGGAGGGATTTCGACGAAACTTGGTATAAACGTATTCTGTATAAGGACGGTGAAAACAATATTGTCCAGCAATGCTACGCCCCCCCAAGGGGGTGAACTACCCTTCAGGCGACATTTTTTTTTGTAAAATCTATTAAACAAGCACTCCTACGTTAAGTTCCACTTACGCGATGTGATTGCTCACAAAATATGAAGAAACGCGTGTTTTTTGCTTTTTGCCAATAAATTTACACATCGATTGTAAACAATGAATGTAGGTGGTATACGGGTATATTCCGACTAGCTTTATTGGGTTATATCGTGACCAATTCATTGTACATAAATCTTGTGAACGTGCTAATTCCTTAAAATGTCGTTGGTTTTCATAACATGCAATTATTTATAAATAAATTAAAAAAAAAATTTAAGAGACTAAAATAGTTTCGTAACAGATCCGACGATGCAGTCGTCACCCGTTTCCAACTAGTAATACAATCTCCTTGGTGAAACGGTAAAATTGGATTCTTACAGTTTTTACGAAAATAGAGTTAGCGATATTCGATACCTTAGGTACGAGAATAGTACATTCATGAGGGGTGTGTGTATAAATATCAGTTTTGAAATCAATCAACGGGAAGTTGTTGTATAATAGAATATTTTTTACATTTTTCTGTTACGCACGAGTTTATTTAATATTACTGGTCATATTTATTACAGTAGTGGTACTCGTGGAAAAAGTACTTTATACAAGACCCTTTTTTTGCACCGTATCATTGCTACGGCACCACAAACATCACATTTCATAATTGAACAGCTTTCAAAGGCAAAGTCAACCGGGTTCGGGAGGTTTTGTAATCTTTCATCGATGTACCCACTTTTATGCCATGCATATTGAAAGAGGCTTTTGTATATAGATGATAACTGATTATGCACGAGTGATTGCAATTTTATGATATTATTTCGTAAATGAAGGTTAACGTCATAATTATGTAAAGGGACAATATCAGAAAAACGTTTCACAAGATTTTTCCAAACTCGAAAATCAGACATCTAAAAGTTGGATTCGACCAGTAGTTCCCTTTGGTATTATCATTGCCACAATATTTTTATCTGCAGGTTCCATTTCTTGAATTGTATTACTGCAGTGTCCGCTCCAGGAGTCTAGCAGAAGAACGCTTTACTGACCAATGTTAGGGTAGAGGATATCCTTCAATCACGTTTTAAGGTGAAGTGAAACACGTCGAGGAACTTGATCGACGTCGATAAAGAAGATTTTTCTAAATGCCTACGTTGCCGACGTTCGTTTTTATATTGACAGCTGTGTCGAATTATATTGGGTATTGTACCAAATGGCATACTTCACCTGTCGTTTTCGTACAGTAATTATAAAGAAATCGAAATAAAACTCCAGAAATCCTCTGGATTCATGCTTTCTGGGGCCCTAATTGACTGCAAAGGGACCCCCTGCGCCATCTATAATTTCCAGGTCAATTAAATCTCCACTCCGAGACCTCGTATTACCATCGTTTTGGCATAGAAGCGCATACAACACTTTTTTTGCCTTTATCCCGTTCAAATGCGAGTTTATCGATTTCCAGAGTGTTCTAAATTGTCGTAAAATGGTCCTGACCCTTTCGATTCTCATACCAGAGCCTTCGATAATTGTATATTGATCGAAATATGAGAGCTCGACGCCATTTTGGTTCTGGTCTGGGCTGAGTTAAAAAATTTGTTTGAAAAATCCAAATTTTGAATGTGTCAGGACAATTCTTAGATGATCATGAGTCATGTATCAAAGTTTCGGACAGTTTGGTCCAATACCCTTAAAAAAAAGTGTTGTATTCCAATCGACTGATTTGAAAGGTGTTTCACTTCACCTTAAAATGCTCTATAATTTTTTTAATCGTATTAGCTATTATTAGTATGCAAGTTAATAAATTATAGGAATAAATTCAAGGCATCTTTACCTAAAGTTAGCTTGCCAGACTTCGAAGCCTAAGGAAAAACGTGTTGTGGACGAAACAATGTTCTTTCCACTACTGGTCCCAGTTGAACACTTACTTCCTTCAACACTATCAATAAAGGTGATAGTAATCGTCCAACCCAAGAAATTGTTTGTTGAATTGTGTAGCTATGTGCTGTCGACGAAATCGATTAGGTAGCACATTCCACTTTTTTTTTTCCTTCACATGATAATGTCCGTCCAGAACGAATTTTTAGCTGAAATCCACATTGATCGGAATTATACACTTTCGGTCCCGTACTGCACTATCAGTGATCTTACAGTGTTTATAAATTTACGAGTTGCTTTTTGTAAATTGTCGCCATCTTCTATCGTCTTCCTTGAAATATCTTTTGTTATTTTCCGTGACACAATACGATGAGCTTTTTTAAAATTATATAACCATTTTGAAGACGCTTTAAGGTGAAGTGAAACACCCTTCAAATCAGTCGAGTCGAATACAACACTTTTTTTTAAGGGTATTAGACCAAACTGTCCGAAACATTGACACATCACTCCTGATCATCTAAGAATTGTCCTAACATATTCAAAATTTGGATTTTTCAAAAAAACTTTTTAATTCAGTCCAGACCAGAACCAAAATGGCGTCGAGCTCTCATATTTCGATCGATATACAATTATCGAAGGCTCTGATATGAGAAATGAAAGAGTTAGGACAATTCTCATATCAGAGCCTTCGATAATTGTATATTGATCGAAATATGAGAGCACGACGCCATTTTGGTTCTGGTCTGGGCTAAGTTAAAAAATATTGTCAAAAAATAAAAATTTTCAATGTGTCAGGACAATTCTTAGATGATCAGGAGTGACGTCAAAGTTTCGAACTGTTTGGTCTAATATCCTTAAAAAAAAATGTTGTATTCGAATCGACTGATTTGAAAGGGGTTTCACTTCACCTTAAGGGGGTGTGAAAGTGGCATCCGAAAGTTCAATCGTTCGTAAAACTTTTCTACGAACTGGGTGTCTCAAATCGTTTCATACTTTAAAACGTGAATATGGAGACTTTAAGGTAGGTCCTGAAACTCGCGAAATTTCATTTTTTATCAACTATTTTTAAAATACCTATAAACAAATTTGAAAAGAATTGAAATTTCATGAGTCTCAGGACCTTCTTTACAGTCTCCCTATTCACGTTGTAACGTTTCAAACTATATGATGAACCGAGTTAGGAGAAAAGTTTTATAAACAAAACTTCTTCGACGCCACTTTTACATCACCTTAAGGTGTATAAAATATATGCATCTCTCTCTTCAAAATACATGTTTACATTATCTTTTATTTACATTTACTATTAATTGTAACGTGAGAATTTCGCAAAATGCCATATTGAACATTACTCTATTTCAGGAGAACTAGTTACTTTCTTTTTTTATGTTAAAACGATGCAATTGCAATATAGGGGTNACCTTTGCAGTTAGATCAATCGGTGGTTCTTATAATTATTAGTATATTTGTCTTTTTTAAATTACAGCTACGCGGAAAATCAGTTGGTCACTTATTTTCTTAATTCGTGAAAAATGAGATTACGTATTGATTTCGTGTTTGCTCTTCCAGATGAATTCCAAGAAAAATGTCTCTTTACTAGTATTTTTGTGTACTGGATAGTAATTGTAGATGGCTGAATGAACCAATAGGCCACCATTGTATTTCATTGACCAGACTTGAACATCGATTACATGCACACGTGTGTCATACAAAATTCATATGAACTATTAATTTAAGGTCTGAAGACGGCGTTGATAGAAGGCGATGATTTTGCTTCTGGAACTTCTTCTCGAAGTACAAAATTAATTCATGGAGGGGTCCGCTACCTACAGAAGGCTATTATGCAGTTGGATGTGGAGCAGTACAAAATGGTGAAGGAGGCATTGCACGAAAGGGCCTCAATGATTCAAAGTGCTCCACATCTCGCACATCCTTTACCCATTATGTTGCCAGTGTACACGTATGTATGACCAGTCACTAAAATTGATCTGTTTAAAAAATCGGCAAGTTTGAAATCACAGATCTTACTTTCTTCCAGGTGGTGGCAAATTCCGTACTACTGGTTCGGCATAAAGATGTACGACATCGTAGCTGGTACCAAAACCGTCAAGTCTTCGTACTACCTCAGCAAGACCAATGCCCTTGAACATTTCCCTATGCTGAAGGGTGATAAGCTCACTGGCGCCATCGTTTATTACGACGGTAGTTCTCGTCGACACTGATAAGTTCTCCCATCCAACCTACCCGTTTTAGGAGATAAATACACGAATAACAGCTGTGTCCAATACAATAGGTCAACAGGATGACGCTCGAATGAATTTAGCTGTTGCTTTGACCGCTTCCCGACACGGCGCAACAGTCGTTAATCACGTGACCGTCGTCAATCTTCTGAAGGGTCTCGACAGAGTAGGTTTATAGTTCTGTTTCATCAGAAAAGATTATTATACAAAGTGCCCCCATTTTAAATGATTCTTTAGAATATTTCATCAACTAAGAGTTTAATCGAACAATAAATCCTATAAGTTATATGGCTTGAAAGGAGAAAAGTGGGAAAAATACTAAGGAAAATTTACAACGGTGATGTTACAGCAACCAACGCTTGGTTTCTTATTGGAATCATATTTTTCGAAGATCTTTGAACATTTAGAACTTTTAGAGGAACCATTACTCGGCTAACTGAACCTTTTCTATAATATGTGCGAGCGTGCGTGCGTGCATGCGTGCAAAGTAAGATTTTTAATATAAAAAACTAATGGATTCAATTTGGCTGTGAACTATTTGAAAAACTGATGACTCAAGTAAATTGCAGCCATTTTCAAATGTCAATTTTAAATCAAAACAGCATTGTGGATATTGAATTTAGAGTTAACGTTTGGAGAAACAGTGTTAACCTTTGAGTTAATCGATAAATAGTTTCTCTGAAAGTTGTATGTTTTCAGACAAGAAATTAAAAAAAGATTTAACTGAAAAACAAGTGTAGCTTGTTGTAACATACCCATTATAAATATTACAACCCCCCCACATACACACTTTTCCGAAAACCATACAATTTTTATATGAATCTTATTTCGATTAAATTCTTAGTTCGTAAGATCTTCCAATGAATTAATTGAAATTGGCCACCCAGTAAATATAGACACATTGACAAATTAATGGTTTGATAATTGATTTTGAATACAGGACGGCAACCGCGTACTTATTGGTGCTCATGTGAAAGATGAACTGACAGGAGAAGAATGGGACGTTAAAGCGAAAGCAATAATAAACGCAACAGGACCCTTCACGGATTCCATTCGAAAGATGGATGATCATAACGTTAAAGAGATTTGCAGCCCCTCTTCCGGCGTGCACATCGTTCTGCCGGGTTATTATAGGTAAGTACTGCTGCGTTTACGTGGGGTTGCCTAAGTTAACAAGTAAGATGAAGACACTCTTTTCAGCCCTGACCAAATGGGCTTGCTTGACCCAGCAACGAGCGATGGCCGCGTCATCTTCTTCCTGCCGTGGCAGAAGCACACCATTGCTGGAACGACTGATCTGCCCTGTCAGATTACGCACAACCCTCGACCCACCGAAGACGAGATCATGTTCATTCTTCAGGAAGTAAAGAATTATCTTAACCCAGATGTCGACGTACGGCGAGGAGACGTTCTGTCCGCGTGGAGCGGCATCAGACCTCTGGTCTCCGACCCTAATAAGCCGAACACTCAGTCACTGGCTCGAAATCACATCGTTCACGTCAGCCCCACGAAACTTGTCACGATTGCAGGTGGAAAATGGACTACATATCGCGCTATGGCTAAAGAAACTATCGATGCAGCTATTACAGGTACTTATTTTCTAACAAGGAAGGTACCTGAGGTGCCCCCCTCCGATTTTGTTCATTTTTAAATATTGTAATGGTATGCATTTTTGACCGTGCCTATGCACCGAAAAACTGCATCCTGAGACCGAAATTAATTTAAATTCTAATATATAAAATAGAAAGAGACTGGCGAGAGAGCGAGGAGAGCGTTCACGAACGATCAGCTGAGCGTGTAAATATTATGGCGAGTCGGGAGGCCTGTCGACCGAATCCGGGTTTAGCGAGTTTTTCTATCGATAGGGACTTTGCTTCCGCACCGTTTCGCACGAATTGGCGATTTAAATTTCTCCGAAAATTATTCACTTTTCCGGATCTCTTTTACTAAATTAGGTGCAATCCCAATTCAATTATCGTGTTTCCGGTTTTTCTGCTTCCGGCTACGGGGAAAGGAAGAATGGGAATTTGACTCTCAGTGAGAACGGCTTATCCCGTTATCGGTGCGTTCTGTAGTTTCATCATTGAATCATCAGGATTTGGAATAATGGAATTTCAGGTTTTGGGATAAATTTAGACTATTGAGATGTTAGGGAAGTTAGTCCCTACTCCGTGCACTAAGTTTGCCGATCTTCCGTTTTACTCGATCCGCGCGCCGAAATCTATTTCTAGCTCATGGCTAGTTGACTCTAAGGGAGCGAATTTGAAGCTCCTTTTTGAACCTTGGTCTGAGAATGCTACTCGGCCTGTGGGATTGGCTGATCAGCCTAAACGAAATCTATTTTTACTCAATGAGTTTTAATGCCTGGGCCGCGGACTAGTTGGTTCCGCGAATCTATGTTTCTTCCCGCAGTTATGCTCTACGGGGGTTAGTATCACTTATTCTAAATTAACCAGTCGCGGACATTGCCTGGTGATTAGGTTTGGTTTGTGGAAAAAGGTGTTCGCGAGTTGGTGCAATACCAAGACCGATGGGATTATCAAGGAGTTTAAATTGGAGGATTTTGAGGGGTGAAGGATGCAGGAGTGGCGATTGGGCCAGACCTGTTGGTGGTAAGGTCCCTGTAAAAGAAGATACTTACTTGGAACATTAAATTCCTCGATGGCGAATGCACGAATACGGTTTTCGATTACCAATTGATACGCGCTGCGATCCAGGTGACGGTTCAGATCTAAGAGAGCGTTCGTCCGCCGGGCTTCGCGCTCGCAGTCCCCTCTCCCAGGGCCTCCCTACTTGCTCGCAATTGTTATTGCGCATGCTCGAATAGGGCCGAATTACTAGTCCTTATGTACAGTGGCGCATGTTAACCACCTGGCCCGTTATAACATGTTATAGAGGATTAAAATCTAAGGGACCCGTGTTTTTATTTTATTGGTGGATAAACACTTTTAAGGGGTGAAATCAGGCTTCAAGGTTGGCCGTGCAAGGGGGTGCGTTGGCTCTTTCATGTAGAAGCACTCGACCGATTTTCATGAAACAACCGTCAAAAGGTAAGGAATGAAGAATTATGAAACATGCATTTGGAATTTTTCGAAAAAATTAATTTTTAAGGGGTGAACCACCCCTTTGAATACTTCTTTTACCCCTTACGCGAGTAGTAATTGTTCTATCCAAATGAAACTTTTTTTGTATTGTTCTGGTTTATAAATTAACCAAGTTTCATTTGGATAGAGCAATTACTGCTCGCGTAAGGGGTAAAAGAAGTATTCAAAGGAGAGGCTCACCCCTTCAAAATGAATTTTTTCGAAAAATTTCAAATGCATGTTTCGTAAATCTTAATTTTCTACATTTTGACGGTTGTTTCATGAAAATCGGTCGAGTGCTTCTATGTGGAACAGCCAACTCACCCCCTTGCACGGCCAATTTTGAAGCCTGATTTCACCCTCTAAAAGTGTTTGTCCGCCGATAAAAAAAACACGGGTCCTTTAGATTTTAGTCCTCTATAACATATTTAAAAATGAACAAAATCGGAGGGGGACACCTCAGGTACCTTGTACCCTCTCATTTCATTTCTTTATACTTAACTTTCTAGAGTGGTATATACCACAAGAATTTCTTTGAATGAAATCGTGAGATTTAAGGTCATCTTGGAATTATTATTGTTCTTGTTGTTGTTTTTTTTTTTTATAAATGTTTCATTAAATAACCTTGTCAGATGAGGTAACGGGAACTTTCATCAAGGTTAGTCTTTACGATGCGGTCTCAGGTTTACACTGTCGTTTATGAAATAAGTGAAATATGGCAGTGTTGAAAAGCTGTACAATAATTAGAATTGTGGCTTAGTTAGAGATATGAATGCGGTTTTTTTCTTTTAGCTTGTGATTTGACACCAGCGCGGGAGTGTCAAACAGATGGTTTCCTACTAGAAGGAGCTCATGGATGGACGCCGACGGTATATATACGTTTAGTACAAGATTTCGGTTTAGAGTGCGAAGTCGCTCAGCATCTGGCTAAAAGTTACGGGGATCGCGCCTTTGCAGTCGCGAAAATGGCATCTCTTACTGGAAAACGGTGGCCCATTATTGGCAAAAAGATCCATCCGGAGTTTCCTTACATTGACGCAGAGGTTGGTGTATCTTCGTATTTTTCGGTGTCCCATTGTAAAGTTTTTATTAAAATACCTCCTTAGGAAAGCATTTTCGAGAAAACTGTTTCAGTTAAAAATAATAGGATTCGAAGGGGAACGCATAATGGTGACACTGATCTTGACCCCGCACTAAAATGTAGGTAATTTCAAGGTCAATAGTTTTTTTTTTTAGCGGAAATCCCGATATTTGACCCCGTAAATATAAAGAGTACAACATCTTCTGTCCAGATGTACTATAGCAGTATGGGATCAAATTGACCCTTAAGGATTAGTTCAAGGTCAAAGAAGTTACCACTGGAATAACCATTAGGGAAAGAATTTTTTAAGAAACATCCAGATATAAGTTATAGAGTTCACAACAGAACAACGGATGGAGAAACTGATTCATGAATGGTTATCTATTGTTTAAATTGTTAAACATTTGACACCCCAGGTATAGATGTTGCTAGTTTTTCTAGTCTAATCGAGTTCCTCTGGAAAGGGCTGATGTTTACTAAATAAGGCGTTCGGAGGTCGCGCTTATCAACAATATCGAATTCGGCGCTTGGTATCAAATCTAATCAAATGTTTAACAATTTATACATTAGGTAACCTTTAATGAATCAGCTTCACCGTCCGTTATTCACTTCTAATCCCTACACCTTATGTCTGGACATTTTTTGCTAAAAATACTTTCCTTAGTAGTTATCACATCTTTGGTCTTGAATTGACCCTGAAGAGTCAATTTGACCTCATCGTGAAGGTACATTTGGACGCAAAATTTTATGTTCTTTTATTTCCGGAGGTAGAAATTAAGATTTCTATTAGGGGAAAAGAAAAAAAAACTGACGATGAATTGACTCTGAAATTACTTAAATTTTAGTCTGAGGTCAAGGTGAATGTCACCATTAAGTGTTCGCCTTCAAACCTTAATCGGCGTTGCCAATTTAGCGTATTTTCAACAAGATCTGGATCTTTAAGAACCTGTTTAGTGGAACGAAATTATAATTTAGCGGCTGGCGAGGATTCTAACTATTTCAAACAAATTTAGGGGAAAGGCTGGCTTAGCTGCGTTTACATTTTACCGCATTTTAATGCTGGCAATGACTGCGTCTCCGTACTCGAAATCCGGGATTTCTCGGGTCCAAACCCAGTAAATCCGAATTTAAGTATCGATCGAGACGCTCAGGATCGAATCTGCGTAATTTTTAATGCGATGGAGACATGCAATTTTCTGGGTCTGGACCCGATGAATCCCGGATTGAGTACCATGAAGATGTATGTAGTTATAGAACATTTATTTAGCCAAATGAATGTGATAAAAATTTTACGTAATCGGATGTAATTAAAAATGCTTAACGCACTTCTCGCCATACATTCTGGTTGGAAAAGGGTAAATAAATGCTGTTCCGACTTTGACGTAACTAAAGATATATTAAGGGGGAATGGTACGTTTCAAAAAAGCCCAAATTGATCGTACTGCCACGTAACGGCAAGAAGGGGCAACACTTTTGACGTAGCACTTGTGACGTAGCGTCATGGCTGTACCGTACCTTGAACGTTGTGGCACAGCGATTTTGATGTCAAGCAGACCTATCCCAGGAGCATCGAGCGTAAGAGTCACAGGGGTGCCGAGCCTCGATAAAAATTACATACTTCTCGTAAAGAAATAAAGACATCATTAATGAGCAATTCAGTAGAAAACATATCTATTGTACTACACAACATAAGAATTCGATATTTATGTTTTCTGAGTTTCCCCGATGCATCAAATGGAAAATTCGACAAGGGCCCCGATAAGTCATGGACGTATAATAGTATATGAACCCACTCCCTATTAGAGTTCTAAATCCAGTAAGTTACGTCAGAAACGAAGAGAAATTCCCGGTAACTTATCGGTAATTTCTCCAAAGCCTTTTTTATCGTGAAATTATGAGAATTTGAATTTTTCAACAGATCGAACGAGAGGTTTCAATTAGCTATAGAGAAACATCGTAGAGGGGAATTTCCGTTGTACGTTCTCCGTAGCCAATCAAAACCTCCCATTCGCTTCGTCGCAGAATGAAATATCAGTTCATTTGAAACAAATCGCATGGAATTTTCCGTGAAGTTGTAGATACGTGAATATTTTTAGCTGGAGGTAAATACGACCCTATAATCAATATTTTCTAATAGTAATTATTACTCTATAGCTTGAACTTTGAAGTTGATTGAAAAAAAAAAAAGTTATTTAAACGAAGAAACCTAAAGTATAAATAACAAAATTAACGTTCTCTTAAATTCTCAATGTTCCCGGTAACTTACGGTATGTTTCACAGTTACCTTCTGCAATTTAATGTTACCGAGAATTTTCGAACTCTACTCCCTATGCTTGAATATGGCTCTGACTGGGTCTAACAGAATGGTGAGAGAACTGGCGCGATTGGGTCTACGCTTGTCTGCGCAACAGAAGTGCGCAGTGAGGTAATTTGCGTTTGTGTGTATGTACATTGTTGTCAACCAACTGTGAAGAACTTACTGCCTCCAAAGGGCAACGACGTGGGGTGACCACCCACGCGTTCCAAGGGCCATCCGTAAACCTCCTCGTGGTGAAGGTGGATGCGGACCCCAATGGGTCCGTAACGAAACGGCAAATGGCTACTGGGGAACCGTGCGAGATGCTGCGCTCTGCGAAGTTTGATCGCACTCTCGTTCCCCCTAGAGTTACCGGCGACAGGTTGCCCTCATCATGGGAATACTCCTCGACCGAACGGCCGGGGTGTGTCGGGTAACCCGTCCCGCGTCCCGGGTTTCCGGGTGCGGGTTGGGGGCCGACCTCCCTGGCCGTAAAAAGAAGGCAGGCAAGCTCAGTACGGGCCGATAGGTGGAAGCCTCGTCCCGATATTTACCGGGTTACCTCCGCCGATGGTTCGGGCTTTCCACTCGACTATGCTCGGAAAAGCTCGTCAACCCACGCTGGAGTATTGCGTCTCAGCTGGGGCCTTGCACGAATGCTCGCACCACGTGGGTGCAGGGGAGGGACCTCCACGGGGTTCCCCGCGGGCAACGGGCGGGGTCAAGCGGCCTCTCTTCGGGGAGTGCGTCGCGGAGGCCCCGACCCGGCCAGCGCCTCCCCGGGGTTTGTGACGATGGGTCCGGGGCATTCGGGTTGTTCCAAGCCTGCCCTCGGCACCGGTGGTGATGCTAGACAGTGGTGGGTTTTGCATCTCCCCCTCGGGGGAGCCGCTAGGGAGCCTTAGCTCTAGGTGCGGGGGTGGCTTGCCACCATCCTAACCACATGTCAAGAACTTACTGCATATTCGATCTGCGCAGGCTAACGTAAACCGCATCGCGTCAATTTTCGTTCTCTCACCGTTCTGCGAGCAGGACCCGATGAGCAGTCCATGTATGATACGTCCATATTATAAATACAGTCATGTAGCTGGCTGTTTCTGCCATTCGTCCACTTCGCATCTTCTACACCGCATGACGTCACGATGCACAACTAGCGCTCGTGGCGGAAATTTACTCAAGTTTTGTGCGAGGGAAATGTCCTCTTTGACAATTTCGCACTTTCGCACCCTAAAATGTCGAATTCGGCTATTCAACGGTGAGTTCTTTGTGATGTGGGGTGAAGTTGACGAGGGTACAATATTCCCTGCGTGAGCCTTTTTTTGAGTTTCGTTAGTGGTACCGTGTAACAGTGTCATAAGCTTTAAACGAGCAACTACACAGGCCATGTTGGCCTACCATGACAGATTCGTGGGCTGCCAGTACGAATTTTCATTAATTATTTATATTTTTTCTGACAAGTAAGTGAAAAATCTGGCTCCGCAGGGAAAGTTATGTTTTCAGAAGGCTGCGATTTCATCCATTCAAGTTGTTCACGGTACATCCTGTACAGACATTTTTGAGTGCGAAGTTTCCCCGCTTCCAACTCTCGTAGGTGTGAAAATGCACATAGAGAAAAAGGTGTATCATTCCCATTTAAATAAAATAAAGACAAATGTAAAAAACATCCATAATGACAGTGATGCTGAAAATGAAGAGATAATGGGTACAAATTTCAGTTTTTAATGTTTTGTGTCTTTTCTATCATTATGTCATGATAGGGTAATGTTGTTTATTTTTTTTAATTTCACGTTTTTGTTGGAAGTTTTGTTACTTTGTTATTTTTTAATGTTCCTTGTTCAATGTTATTTAAAATGTATTACATGAAGCATAATAATATATAAGAGAACCTTAATTGTTCATTTTTTACTTTCTATGTAACGATTTAGTGATTTTTCTTACTCTAGCGGTTTTCTGGTGGTATTTAACAAGTCATTTTGCGAGTTCTCTACTTCATGTATTCGCAATACTGACCTTAATATTTTCATCTCAAACAGTTTTCTCAAAAGTGCTTTCTTGAGAAAATATTCGAATGGAAATTTCAAAATGGGACACTATCTATTGTTACGTTATAAATCACCCATTTATAAAATATATCCTAAATATGAAAAAATTAGACGAATGTGTCCGTAATTATGAAATAGGTCTAAGTGAAATATCTTAAAGAAAAAAGAATTTATCCCATATTTTGAAACATATGTAAATTACAAGAATGCGAAGTTAGCTTTTCAAGAACAAAAAAATGCCAGGCTACTTTCATTATTACGGGCACATTAATCAGTTTTACACTTTTCAATAATTCGATTTGTATTTCTCTTACGACTTTTGAATACACATTTCTCGTATAAAGCACGAATTATCCTAAGAAGATGTTTTAATGAAAACTTTAAAATAGGACACCTACATTATTTATAGAATATCTATGACGATGTAACCAGTTTTATCTTCTTCTTTTTAATTAATTTCACGATATCTACTGCAGTGATATTTGTCAACAGTCGGCTTTCTCTTTTTTACGGAGTACTTTACATTTCAGATACGTTATGGATGCCGGGAATATGCTAGAACAGCCATCGACATGATTGCTCGCCGATTAAGACTTGCGTTCCTTAACGTACAAGCTGCTCAGGAAGCCCTCCCGGGTATTATAGATATTATGGCCGAAGAATTGCATTGGTCGGATACTGAAAAAAAGAACCAAACTAAGGCTGCAAGTGATTTCTTGGCTAACGAAATGGGCCATACTGTGAATCGCGCCTCGCGTGATAAGCTTCCCATTAATCTCAGCAAGGACGAGATCCAGACGTACATTAAACGTTTCCAAATTATCGACAAAGATCGCAAAGGATACATTTCGATCAACGACATCAGACGAGGCCTTAAGGTTTCAATCCGTTTCTCATTGAACGATTATTATTTCGTCTGTTTATTCATCTCGGCTCTGTTCAAACCGTCGCTAATACTTTTTTCTTAATTAAAGAACTTTTACAACGTTTTGAAATGCTTTCTACTTTATGATTACATTCGATTTCGTGGTGATGTAATCCCTTTTATAAAGTCATTTGGTATTTCAAAACCGAGCCCAGGAAACCTGGATCCAAAGTTCTAAGATACTTTCCTACCAGTTGTGCAATGCGCATGATTGTATGTCTTCTTGGTTTCAATGCATAACTATTAGGTTGCTCCAAAAGTTTTTTTTACCATCTGTACGCAGCTGGTTTATCTGGCAAACGAAGGAAATTTTTGGGATAACCTGATAGTAGCAACTTGACAACATCGTGCAATTGAATAACTATATTGTGTGTTGTGCAATGCGCATGATTGTATGTCTTCTTGGTTTCAATGCATAACGCTCCAAAAGTTTTTTTTACCATCTGTACGCAGCTGGTTTATCTGACAAACGAAGGAAATTTTTGGGATAACCTAATAGTAGCAACTTGACAACATCGTGCAATTGAATAACTATATTGTGTGTTGTGCAATGCGCATGATTGTATGTCTTCTTGGTTTCAATGCATAACTATTAGGTTGCTCCAAAAGTTTTTTTAACCATCTGTACGCAGCTGCTTTATCTGACAAACGAAAGAAATTTTTGGGATAACCTAATAGTAGCAACTTGACAACATCGTGCAATTGAATAACTATATTGTGTGTTGTGCAATGCGCATGATTGTATATCTTCTTGGTTTCAATGCATAACTATTAGGTTGCTCCAAAAGTTTTTTTTACCATCTGTACGCAGCTGGTTTATCTGACAAACGAAGGAAATTTTTGGGATAACCTAATAGTAACAACTTGACAACATCGTGCAATTGAATAACTATATGAAGGTGTAACTTCACCAAAGTTAAGAATCTTTCATCGAAATTTTAGACGAATATGGTTTAGAAAATAGTATTATCGAAACGAAATTTTGTTGTAATTAGAATTTGTTTACTCGTTGGGTTGCCATTGAAAATCAGAGTGAATTCAAGACATTGAAGTCTCGAATTGAGACAATTATTAGATAAAATGTCAATGTGAAGCGAGTTTCGTGAAAGTGTACACTGACGGAGATGAATGCTTTCCTAGAAGATGTAATACATTAAGGGCGCTCACCACTCTAGCAATTTTGCAGGGCCTCACGGGGACATCGATTCCGAACGTATTTCTAAACCGATCAGTTTTAAGGTTAAGTGAAACACGTCGAGGAACTTGATCGATGTCGATAAAGAAGATTTTTCTAAATGCCTACGTTGCCGAGATTTGTTTTTATATTGACAGCTGTGTCGAATAATATTGGGTATTATACCAAATGGCATACTCCACCTGTCGTTTTCGTACAATAATTATAAAGAACTCGAAGTAAAACTCCAGAAATCCTCTGGATTCATGCTTTCTGGGGCCCTAATTGATTGCAGAGGAACTCCCTGCGCCATCTGTGATTTCCAGGTCAATTAAATCTCCACTCCGAGACTTCGTATTATCATCGTTTTGGCATAGAAGCGCATACAACACTTATTTTGCTTTTGTCCCGTTCAAATGCGCGTTTATCGATTACCAGAGTGTTCTAAATTGTCGTAAAATGGTCCTAAACCTTTCGATTCTCATACCAGAGCCTTCGATAATTGTATATTGATCGAAATAAGAGAGCTCGACGCCATTTTGGTTCTGGTCTGGGCTGAGTTAAAAAATTTGTTTGAAAAATCCACATTTGAATGTGTCAGGACAATTCTTAGGTGATCAGGAGTGATGTGTCAAAGTTTCGGACAGTTTGGTCTAATACTCTTTAAAAAAAGCGTTGTATTCGAATCGACTGATTTGAAGGGTGTTTCACTTCGCCTTAACGAGTGCTCATATCGAAGATGAAAGGTTGACCTGTGTTTATATGGGAGTGATTTTCGATAAGTGGTCATTTTCATATAAAAAAGTGCAACGACATAATTTCAATGCCTTTTTACCTAGGAAGGAGGTGCTCGATCGAAAATCGCTCCCATATAAACACACGTCAAGATTTTATCTTTAAAACGAGCACTCGTTGAGCTCGATCGGTTGAGAAATACGCTCAAAATCGTTGTCCCCGTGGAGCACCTTTTTCAGGATTTTCGAGTTTCTCGCGAGGAATTTGGGCACTCCTTAGTAACCGTTGCCGACTCTAGGTGGAGCGTCCAACTGGCGGGTGCGGGCGGCCGGGGGTCACACACGTTCCGGCGCCTAGTCCAGAGGCGTCTAGCCGTTGTGTGAGTCCTATACGTGCAAAATACGCACACATTTTTCGCCCGTTGCTAAACACCGCCCATTATGCGTCGCGTCTCCCTCATCCGAGCGAGAAAGAACGTTTCGGTTACCTCCCACCGAATTCGATGCTAATGCCATCTAGCGGCGGAAGTCATCGTCCCCACTTTGGTGGTGAGCGCCGTTAAGTGTATGATGAGAAGGCATTCTTATTCGTCAGTGTATAACAGGATCAAAGAAGAAGTGAATGTACACTTTTTGTTTTAATTTACAGCTCTTCGGTGACAAGGAAGTTCCAGGAGAAGAGCTTCATGATATCCTTTGTGAAATAGACACGAACATGAATGGTCAAGTTGAGCTGGATGAATATTTGCAGGTTTGTAATCCTAAAAATTGATGGCTACAGAGGTGGTGATATTATTTTAACTGCAACGTTAGAATAAATATTTCAATGATTTCATTTTGTTTTCATTGACAGACTGCTTGTCAGGTATAGGAGCGAAATTGTTATCCCTGGGCTTTATTTGTTTCTCACTTTAATGCAACGCTACTTGATAGATGGTTGCTTCATAAACGTTGTAATCATTACACATAGAAAGTTTCAGAAATTAACAAGATTGTTTTTTTTCCAGCTAATGTCGGCAATAAAGTCTGGTCATGTAGCATATTCACGTTTCGCTCGAATGGCAGAGATGGAAGAAGCTCAACACGAACGAGACATACTAAGGAAGCAGATCAGTGTAGAAAGATCAGGCGGTGGATTGTAAAAAGTATGATGTATAAGAGAAAACTTATTTAATTTAATAGGAGGGTATCATTTATTTTAGATTTCTCTCCTACCGAGTTCAACTAATTTACAATTATTTTTCTGAACCAGTGTTCTACTGTGTATATTTGCGTACATACTGTGAATATATAAATCAAAGAATATAACTATATACATATTTATTTATTGAAAAAAGACAAGAGGGAAATATAGGTAACATAAATTCAAAGATTTTCTCAAATTAAATGCCGAGTTTTTTAGTGGCAGTGTAATGTTCTAACTATAACATTAAATTATGAAAAATAAAACTTTACAAACCCATCCTTTTGCAACATTTTCATTCAGTAAGAAATTGAATTGACGTCGATAAATTAAATTCATGTATACCCTTTTGCTGGTAATGTCATTTTGAATACTCAAGTAGTAACGTAAGCTGGCTCGCCACGTTGCCGACATTTGCATTGTAGTGGTTATTCTTAATATACCGGGTATTTCACCTAACTTGACCACCTTAAATATATCGCTTATTTTGTATGATAGGAAAAAATCAAGGGGAGAAAATATTCCGTTCGAAGGCGCCAATACGATGATAGGCCGAATTTTTTTCTCAAGGTCATTTTTTTTTAGATTTCAAGGTCATCGTATTTTTTTTTAAATAGGACTGCATATTTTCACTACAGCAGTCTTATAGCTTATAAAAAAACGAATCCAAGGAGGTGCAATATGTTGACCTTCACGTGACCTTCAGCGAGAAAATTTTGAAATGTTTGTCAGTAACTTCAGTATGTGTTCGGGGACGGTAAATGAAAGAATTTCAATATCATTGTAACAGTCTTAAATTAAATCTTTGTTTTAGAAGGTTTTCAAAATGTGCACCATGGACTTGGATACATTTTTAGAGGAGGAAAATAAATTCTTGCTGTACATTTTTAAGCTGTTCTACAGTAATTGATCTACATTCATGGAGGGCCCTTTGTCGCATGTTTTCTGGTGTTGTGGGAACATCATTGTAAACTTCACTTTTCATTTCAGCTTCTTCGTTTGTTTTAGTTTTAGTACGACCCACTGAACACCAAACCTAACAGTTACGTAACTTAAAACTAACAAATAACATAACGTTTGTTACAATGTAATAACCTAACAGTTACGTAACATAGACCTAACTAGTTACATGACATTTGTTACAATGCAGTAACTTAACGGTTATGTAATGTGGAGCTAACGGGTTACATAACATTTGTTACTATCATATCTATATAAATGTAGCGCAACTTTGTTACCTTCATCTTAAATTATGTTCCTGTACTGATATTACTGTGTATATGCAGTACATATTTGTAACAAAACGGAACTATATCGGTGCTGACTGTCATTTATTTTATTACATCATCGTCATCGTCATTGTCATAATTCATCGTCAAATGTCATAAGATTGATATATGTCATATTTTGTTTACTACTCGTACGAAAAAATGTGACTTTAATTCATACGCACATATACATTAATACTATTGTCAGTAGCAAAAAATANGTAAACATGAAGGGTTTCATTACTTTCGTTTGATTAGTTATTAATATATTGTAAAAATGTTTTTGTAAATTGTAAGTCTACAAGACAATGTATTTGACGGAAATATTTTTTACACTGAAGGTGTTTTCATAGGATTTTTACACCTTTTTGTAGTTTGTAACATTTATTTCCATAAATGCATATTTGCTTGATGTACGATGTGTAAGGTGTATTTACGATTAACCATTTTTTTTTAAGTAAGAACACTGGATAGCATCGGTTATTTCATCTACATAATCTTATATCACATGGTAAGTAAGTAATATCGATAAATGTAATATTATAATAAATGATACAAATGAAGTTGAATAATAAATTTGTTAAATAATAGTTGAAAAGTTGCAAAGGCGGTGGACAAATTAGACATGTGGAATAAAGACTTAAAGGATAAAGATTTTCTGAAGAGTTTCCTACCACTTGATACATATACTTACATGAAAATATATTAAAACTATAATCCTCCATGGTATACTCTTATAAATATATTTAAAAAGGAAGGTCATGCGGGATACGGAATGGAAGTGTAAGTGTATACAGAGGGTTCTTTTTAAAATTCCTTTTTCATGCTTGATTAACATTGTTTTTTTGACTAACTTTGATTAAATTTTAAATATAGCATATTGACGTTATAATGTATTTTTTCCGTAACAACTGCGTACCGTAACAACCCGTACCGTTTCATTTCTTCTATCTCTCAGAGCAATCGTGTGTGTTCCGAAATCTATGATTCCCTGCCACCGTTCAAGGCTATTGTTACGGGGCGGCCGAGCGGATGCGAGGCCGGGGTAATTCAGATGGAGATTACCAAAATCTTGCGCGTAAAAAGTATTTTAAGTTTGTGAGGAGATTGATCCGAGCGGCTAGATCAATTCCTCTGGTGGGATCTAGGGGAGTGAGGAATAAAAAGGGGTGCGGACGAATGGCTATGTGGCTAGTGTATTAAGATTTGCATTTATTTGTACGTGAGATCTAAACTACAATCAGTTGGAAGGGCACCCAAGGGGCTTGACCTAATTTCTCTAGGTTAGTATACTCCCGCGTCGCGGCGGTTCGGGTGTCGCGATAGCGCGCTTTAGCGGCGACAGGTTATTGGACGCCGGAGTGCTGATGCGGGAATTTCTTACTGTTTTAATGGCGGTCTACGCGTGATTCCGTTTCGCGGTGCTGAGATTCGAGTTCAGTTGTTTAATGGAAGTCGATGGATTCTTAATCTATCCGGTGAACCGGAACAAGGCATGGAAATCGCGATAATGGTTAGAATTCGGTTTTGGTCGGAGATGAAGAGTTAATAAACTAGAATGAAAAATGAGGATGAGTCGAGCTTTCGAAGGATCCTCTACCTGGCTTGTTCAGTGGCCGTAATCGGTGACAGTCTCTTTTGATCGACCCAGTCGGATGACTGTGCGTGAACACCTTCGTCCCGTGGCGTGCCCTAGGGTTGGAGGTCTCCTAGAAGCCTCCCGTCCAACGGAAGTCGCAGTGCCGCCGTCTGGTCCTGACTCGGTGGTTGGATCGCTGGAGTACCGGATGGCGCTACTGCAGCTCGCAGGATAGTGGTCCTTGGCAGGGAGTCCAGTGGTCTCGGTCTCTGACTCGCTAGGAACGGAGTACCGGGGACCAGGAGCTCCACTCGAAGTTTCGATGATACTTGACTGACGTGTAGCGTAAGAACTGACACTGACTTATGACAAATGATTAATGACATGACGTCTTGATCGGACTACTGGTTTTATTAGCAGGATGTTCCAATTGGTGGGGGTTTCCTAGGGCCCAGGTGAGGGTGGCGTTTCTGAGTCGAGCTGAAGCGTTGCGAAGTCATCAGATTGTTCGCCCCGGGTCGGTCGATGACTTTTGGAGCCGTTTGGCCGATGAACTCGTTGGATCCTTTCGCAAGAGTTTCCTAATCGCGTTTCCGTATTCGAATTTCCATGGCTAGCTGCGGTGATTGGAAAATAGGGGTTTTCCCTACGTTAGGGTACGGAAGGTGCCTACGTAACAAAGTAATAATCTGATATGTTCAACAAGACGTCCTTTTGGATAAGTGATCATTTTGACATTTCGGCTCTGGAACCTAACGATTATGGAATTGAAGTGCTATCCATTGAGTCATCGTCTACTTCTGCAAGTTCGGTACTGCGGTTATCAACCCTTTAAATTGTTCAGAATAAAGATTAGTAACTTATAGAATCGAGTAGAGACCATACAGTGAGGAAAATGATAGACCATGAAAGTATTATACTAGCATACATCGTTAGATATCTTTGAAAGTTTATTTACTGATACTTTCATATAATATATTAACAACTCAAAGTTATAGGAACGGTTATTAATCGAGCTGTATTTGTACTTGTCTTTCGGTAACTGATTTCACTACTTTAAAAGGCCATCAGTACACCGGTCAAATTGTCTAAACTTGTCCGCAACGGTTGATTTCATAACTTTAGTAGGTTGAACATGAAAAATAATTTTTTGATCTTTTTTTGTAAAAATTATGTGATTACTACTGCTACTTCAGAAGGTTTGTTCTACTTTTTTTTTAAATTTATAATAAGATAGTGGCTACTGATTCTTTGTAGGAATGTTCGTAGTGATTCCAGAAGGTGAAATGACATCAGGCAATGAACTTGTCTTTTTTTTTACACCAAAGGTATTCTTGGTGGGATTTCTTTTCTTTTTGTAAAGATATATATACATACACGTTTCTTTTTATTAAATAGCATAACAGAAATTATGATAAGTACTACACTACAACAAATAGTTCAACGACAAGTAGTGGAACGAAAGAAGTAATTTTTACTGTACCATAAGTATTGGACTACGAGAACCAAATAACATTACGAAAGGTTTTACACATTATCGTAATGCAAGAAAGTTGATTAATAAAGTTAATAATGAACTTAATAATGACATAGTTTTCTTACCTTACAATGACGTGAGAAACTTTTTGTAATGACATTTGTTTCTCTCAGGGTAATAATTATTGTAGAGTACAAATTATTTCTGTCGTTCCACTACATATCCTTGGATAATAATTGGAAAATAATGTTTACTGTACAATAATTATTACAATGCGAGAAGTAAAGGATATTACGATATGTTTCTTCAATTATCATAGGGTAAGAAAGTTGGTTAATAAAGTTAATAATAAACTTAATAATGAAATAGTTTTCTTACCTTATGACAATGTGAGAAACTTTTCATAATGACATTTGCTTCTGGCAGGGTAATAATTATTGTAGAGTAAAAATTACTTCTATCGTTCCACTACATATCCTTGGATAATAACATTCCTAAGTGTATAGTATAATTTATTACTTTTTATTCTACGACATGTACAAAAGTGTGTGAATTAATTCTCCAAGAAGAAATGAAACAAAAGAAATAGTTTTTATCCTACAATAAGTATTACACTGCAAGAAGTAAATGTCATTATGAAAAGTCTTTCACATTGTCGTAAGGTAATAAAACTATGTCATTATTAAATTCATTATTAAGTTTATTAACTAACTTTCTTACATTACGAAAATGAAATAAACCCGTCGTAGCGTCATTTACTTCTCGCATTGTAATAATTACACTACAATACAGTAAACATTATTTCG